CCCCAAAACCCCAAAACCCCAAAACCCCTATTATATTTGAAATTGAACTTTTAAATTTAAACGAAATTTAGGAAAAGTTGGACATAAGAGTCAAACCAAATCGGATGAGGAACAAAACTGATTCAAGGAAAGCATTCACTAAATCAAACAATACCTTCAACTCTGGTTGCTCCAAAGTAACTTACCCTGATAACCCCCTATGCTTACTTCTAATGAGATCTAAACGAACAAGAACGCCTATAGCTTCTAAAAAAAACAGACAGGTAAATTTTATTCCAAATCTCGCCTCTAAACCTGCTGTTCCATAGACCAGTTCGGGAAACCAAAAGAGTCAAAAGTAGGAATGATCAGTAGAATTTGCCTGTACTCAAGCATGCTGAAACAACTCAGCCTAATTGACATTGATAATGTAACATAGGAGGAAGATGAGCAACTGAGAAAGATTGTCAAAGTCATCTTAGATACAAGAAAATAAGAAGCCAGCCCTCCGAAGCAGTTTACCAAAATAGACACGAATGTAAAAAAAGCAGAGAAAGATAGGGATTTTGGAGATGATTTGAAATAAACTGTTCTCTTTAAGTTCTTCAGACAACCATGAGGTTTTTAAATCCCTCGCCACAAACCTTGATATGACTAGTTCACCCATGAGGAGGAACAACTCAATGAAGAACATTACTTTCCTACAAATCTGTGCAATCCGGATATCCAAAGCCTCATGGGAATGTATAGGCAAAGCTATTTCGAGCAATAACAGTATTAGAATGCTTGCGCTTAATGCTTGTGGGGTTAATAACAATGCATTTGCTCACTTAGTCCCTGCAATGGAGAAGAACAAAAGTATTGAAATCCTCGATCCTATCTTTCAACTATATGGGAGATAAAATGAGCACATTCATTTCTAAAATAATCGCTCTCCAAAGCGAGAGAAGAGAGCAAGCAATCTGGCTTGCAGGTCTCAGAGAAGAACTTCCTGAGGAAGAAGAATATAAATCTGGCCTTAAGAATCTTATCCTTAGGCATAACAATTTTAGCAAAGATGTCTGCTCCGAAATCTCAAGAGTACTTTATTTTGACATTTACATCAGATCAATTGATCTTAGAAATAACTTACTTCAAGAAGAAGAGATCCAGGAAATGAAATATTTCCTCAAATTGAATAAAGCCTTGATTAATCTTGATGTACTTCAAAATCATGGTTTAACTACTAAACTGCACAGGATGGTTGTGCTCAAGCTTCTCAGAAACATCGAGTATACTAAGAAAACTAATATTGAAGACATGAGGTGGATGAACCCAGAAGTGCTAATCTGAGAGGTTCCAAAATATTTAGCTCCAAAAATCCAAAGAAAGATGAATAAATTGTTTGAGCATCCGAGCCAAGCTCATCGCCCAAAGGCCACTGTAGTCAGGAGATCAGTGAATTATTACAATAATATAAAAACTATCGCAATGCCAGTTCCAGATTACTTAAAAGTAGCGAAAACCCTCGGTGTAGATAACCTGAAACAAAGTAATCATTCGTAATCAACTATAGGACTTCCATTAGCAGAGTACCACTACTCTCAGATGCAAAACAGAGAAAGCAGTATGTACGAAAAGGTACTACTCCATCTAAACCTTTAGGTCTCAGAGCCACACATCGCTAAAAGCCAGATCCTATAGTCTAAAATTTCCATAAATTTTCAAAAATTAGAGGTGCAATATTCTAAGATTCCTTGAAATTATCAAAAACGAAAGCATTTTGGTCAAGGTTAACTCTAAGAATACTATAGCCATAATTATCCAGTCAAGTATGATCTGACTTCTTCGACGGAAAAGTCTGACTATTGCAAGTCACTAAAGACCTGGAATACATGGAGGACTCTGATAGATCCAGAATCTGATATTTGGCAAAGTAAATAAAAATCCTAAATGACTGTAACAGTTGTATAATGATTCTCAACAAGAAATACACAAGATAAAATTTTTGGGTAATTTCTTCAGCTTATCTATCAGGCTTGTTGAGATATATCTGACCTCAATCTTATCATTATGTTGTATAGCCAAGGGAAGATCTGACTCTTGATACCAAATGAAGTAGACCCTGTTTATTTCGTCTCAAGAAGCCATGCTCAAAGCATGATTCTGCATCCTTGGACTGTGGCCAAGGTCTCCAAACACAAGTACTCAGGCGCTCATTTTTATTTAATGATATCTAACCATGTGCTAAAATTAGGGGTTTTGGGGTTTTGGGGTTTTGGGG